CCTAAGAAAACTCATTGGTTGGTCTTGTTTTGTTGGAGTGGGTGTGTCAGAACATTAAGTATGATAATCTACCATTTTAGCTGGTGCCTGATGCAGGGCAGAGCTGGGTTTTTTTGTTCTAAGAATTTCGTTTGTTTTGAACAAGCTTTATTCGCAAGTCTCAACTCAGGCTATATAGCTTTATTCCTATAAAAGTTGAGTCTTGAATAATTTCTTGGAATATACCTATCCACTTAGAAAATTATATATTTTAGCCATTAATACCAAGCTTTTCTATCTATAGGGATGGGAAAAACCCAAAGTGCTCTAATTTACAAGTTTATGTGGGAAGTGAAAAATAAAGTAAAAGATGTTGTGTGAAATTTAATGTTTTTTTTGATAATTTGCACATCAAGTCTAAATGAGAGGTCTGGCATCTGTGAACACAGTCCAAGGATTAACAAGGATGCATGGAGCTCCAATAGAATACAGTGACAGGGATTGTTTTCCTTCTCTGCCTCTTTTCTTTAAGGCCAGTGAAATACAAGATAATATGTACCACAAGTCAAAGCATTGCTGAATGCAGCCTGAAGTTATCCATTATTTAGTGATCTGCTCCTAGGCTGGGAGGTATATATTTGTATGACTGGTAGAATAATTGTATCTCTTTTTTCAGCTTTAGGAAATTCAACTTTCTTTAGGTTAACCCTCCTTTAGCTGTTTGGATTACCTCAAAGTTCTAATCTTATCTTTGAGCCAGCAGTTATTTGTAATAAGTGACACTAACCAGTTTGCCATTCTGTGACTAAAGGGCACTGTGAAAGAGTTGAAAGTCAAGAGGAAAGGATTGCTTAAAAGGAGGAAGCACCATGTGCCAACACCAGAGTCAGAATGAGAAGGATAAGTTGTCTTCATGTAACAGTATAGAATCTTAGACTGTTAACACTAGAAAAAGTCTTAGAAATTATCACCTAGGGATTCTTAACCCTGGCGTTCATGAACTTTGTTTTAATTAATAACTATATTTCAGTATAATTTTGTTTCCTTTGCAACTTTGTTGTATGTACTTAAAAACATTATTTTGAAGAGACCCATACATTTCACAAGATTGCCTAAGGGGTCCATGATACAAAAATGACTGAGAACCCTTGATCTAGTCCAAACCTCTCATCTGTATAGACTACTCAGTATCTTACACTGTCGTCTCCCACTTCACTGCATTTATGCAGGCAGCTCCCCTGTGCCTAGAGCACTCTCCTTTATCTCTACCAGTTGGAAGTATTTTCCTTCAAGGCCCAGCTACCCATCATTTTCAGTGGTGCTTTCTGAGATCTCCACCAACTAAACATGATTGCTTCTTCAGAATTTCTGAAAACACTTTGCTTTTCTCCTTGCCCATTTTACCTTCTGTTCTGTGCCATATTAGTGTATATATCATAGTGGAGTGCATTGGAAAAAGTATTGGATTTGGAGTCAAAGGGTGTAGGCTCAAATTTTTGTGGTTTTGTACAGATCTTCTTTTTGGTCTTCAAATTCTTCATCCATAAATTGAAGTGAGTTGGACTAGATAACTTTAGTCTCTTCCACCTGTTTCCCCTTTAAATTACTTGGAGGCACAGAATCTCATTTTTCATTTCTATATCCCAAGTGCCTAGTAGAGTGCCTTGTGTATATACTAGGCCCTTAATAAATATTTGGATCAAATTGAATGACTTTATTATGCTGATGCTCAGAGCTATGAGTCACTCTGTGACCATGGGAGCATTTTTTAGTTTGACTTTCATTGCGTTACTTTCTACTGGTTCTCTTCCTACATTTAATTGCTACTTCTTAGTCTTCTTTGTGGGCAGCTAGGTGGCATAGTGGATAGATGCCAGGTCTGGAGTCAGGAGGACCTGAGTTAAAATCTGGTCTCAGACACTTAGTAGCTGTGTGACCCTAAGTAAGTCATTTAACCCTGTCTGCTTCAGTTTACTCATCTATATAATAAACTGGAGACGGAAATGACAAACCACAATATCTTTGCCAAGAAAACCCCAAAATAGGGTCACCAAAGAGCTCCTTATGACTGAAACAACTGAACAACAAAAGTCTTCTTTGTATCATCTGTCCTTTGCCCAAGCATGGTTGTCCTCAAGGCTCATCTTTTCTCTCTGCTTGCTTGATGATCTCATTAGCTCTCCAAATAGACTAATTTATCATTATGCATATGACTTCCAGTTTTTCTTTTTAAATACAATCTATTAATATATCTTGTTTTTATATCTCCTAATTTTTCCACTTTATCCCTTCCTTCTCCATCAGAGAGCCATCTCATATAACAAAGAAAAAAAATCAGCAAAACCAATCAATACATTGAAAAAAAAAATCTGAAAACATAGGCATGGTTTCATACCTATGGATTTATCACCTCTACAAAGTAGGGAAGAAGAGGAGGATGCTTTTTCATATCTCTTCTTTAGGGCCATGCTTGTTCTCTGTAATTTTGAAATACTTACTTTTGATTGTTTTTTGATTGTTGTACTTTCTATATGCCTATCGTATCTTTTTATCCAAACCTAGTCTCTCTTTTGAACTTTTGCACCACATCCTCAGCTACTTGAGACTAACCTGTTGTACCTGATAGATATTTCCAACAGAATGTTGCATAGGCACTTCAAATTCAATATGTCCAATATAAAATATTTCTGCAAGTCTCATCCTAATTTCCCTATTTCTATTGAAGGTACAACAGTTTGGTTGCCAAAGTTTGTAATAAAACTCAGGATAATCTTTTAAACCTCCGTCTCCCTCCTCGTCCATCTTCAGTTAGTTGCCAAACCTTATCTAAGTCTATACCACTTCAATCTGTCTTTTGTATCAGTACCCTTCTCTCTACTCACACGGCCTCTACTATACTTATAGTCCATATCACCTTTAATCCTGATTGTTACTATAGTGACCCTAGTTGATTTCCCTGTTTTCAGCTCCTTTCCTCTCCAGTCTATGTTCCATATCAATACCAGATTAATATTCTTAGGTTGCAGATCTAACTATATTATCTCCTGCTCAGAAATCTTTTGTGGCTTACTTACTCTTGAATAAAGTATAAACTACCCAGTCTGATATTTTAAGTGCCCCTCATTCTAATTCCAAGCTACTTTTCCAGCCTTATTTCATATTATTTCCCATCACATACACTACATTTCAGTAAAATTGCCCAACTAGTTATTCCCCAAACTCGCCGTTCTAGCTTGCTTCTTCATACCTTTGCACAGGTGGTCCTCTGTGCCTGGAAAGTGCTTCCTCTGTTCTATGGCTCAGAATCCCTACTGTCCTTCAAGGCTAACTTTTCTTAGCCCTAGTTGTTAATGCTTATTAAATTATTTTATTAAAGATTATTATCCTTATTAATCTTGTGTTTTTACTTGTCTGTGTACATATTGTATTATTGCAGTAGAATATAGTAAACTTATTGAATATAGTGTCATTTTTGTATTTATATTCCTATCACCCATATTAATTCCTTTTAATATTTGTTGAATTAAGGCTGTGTTGAACCCTACTAAGTATGTGATGCTGTAAGGGAAAATGAAGATTACATAGTACAACTATGACTCAGCTACTGTTCTTTGAAATCTTATTGTGTTAAATACCTTAGATTGTTATCGGAGGGACAAAAGGATTATTGACATAAGGTTGAGGTGAGGTAATGACATGACAAACTCGAGGAAGCATAATTATCACAGTATTTTTATTCCATTTATGTGGTAGCTCTTTTCAGAAAAACTTGAGGTACTTATGAATACCTGAGATGAGCATTTTTGAAATGTCACAACAATGAAAAATATTCAGGAGGGAGAATAGCAGGAAGAAAAAGGCTAAAAGCAGAAGTTGCATATGAAGGAAGCAGCAATGGGATTTCAGGCAGTTGTTGTTCATTCATTTCAGTCGTGTCCAACTCTTTGTGACTCCATTTGGGGTTTTCTTGGCAAAGATATTGGAGTGGTTTCTCCAGCTCATTTTACAGATGAGGAAACTAAGACAAATGGAGTTAAGTGATTTGCTCAGGGTCATACAATGTCTGAGGCCAGATTTGAATTCAAGAAGATGAGTCTTCCTGACTTCAGGCCTGGCACTCCATGCACGATGGTGCCACCTGGTTGCCCTTTATTTCATGTCATGGTAACATACAAATGCAACAGGCCACTTCACCTTGGCTTATGCTATTGGAGATTGTCAGTCTGGTGGCAAGGAATGTGTAGGCTTGAGATTGAAGACCCTGCAAGGCAGGTACCAGAATTCTATGTACCACTCCACTTCTTCCTCACCAGGCACACCCAGTATTCTTTGCAGCTTTAAAATTACTCTTTAAGAGCTTATGCTAAGTAAGGTACATAGGCATCTGTGTGATGGACTAGGGAATGAAGGCATTAAAGTTTGCTAGGCGCTTTACATATTTTTTCTCTTTTGACATTAACTATTCTCTGTCTCTGTAATAAATGGGAAGGTAAGGGTTTGTGGTGGTAGTGATGTGTATAATGATCTTCCATTAACAAAAACAAGCTAGCTCCAGTCCTTAATTTCCTACTTATTTGAGGTCTAGACCCATTCAGATTTCTAGAATTCCTTCTATGTCTTTTCTTTTTCTACTTTTATGTATGATTTTCCAGCCTTTTATGTATTTTTCTCTAGCCTCATATACACTGTTTCTTTCCACTGAAGTGAAGGTTCTTGGAGGAGCTCAAAGACTCAGTTATCAGTGTCTTTGTCCCCCAGTGCATCTACAACAATATTTGTTGACTATTTTAAAAAATATTTTGTTGATGCTTTTATAAAACATTACTTTTGCTTCCTGATATATTCTACCCTTGTAACAAAAAATACATATAGTCAACAAAGCAACATATTAACCATATCAGACTGGTATGCTTTATTCTACATCTGTAGTCCATGATCTTTCTACCAATAAGAGGAGGGAGGTGTACTCCATTGGTCCTTTGAATTGACACCATTTTCTCAACTTCTTTTCCTCTCTTTAGATTTTCAGAAGAAACAACCAGATGATGACTCCACTCCCAGTACAAGCAACAGCCAATCAGATTTGTTTTCTGGAGAAATGAACAGTGACAACAGCAATACCTCTTTAACTACACCAACTGTTAACTCCAACCAGCAACAGCTTTCGACAGAATTGAATGTAACTTCCACAGGCAAAGAGGAGTGTAAGTCCCTATATTCTGAAGTTGGAGAAGGGTGGAGATAGCCTATGATCAGTACTTTTTCTCCTTTGATACCCAGGTCCAAATTGAAATACAGTAACTCTTTGATTGAAGAGAAAGTAGAGTAAGAAGGAAACCTAGTCCAAGAAATCTGGCAATTACAAAGGAGTTGAGAGAGTAGGGAGACAGAAGGTTAGGAGTAGGTGAGGACATTCCCTCCCCCTGGCACCTTGTAGTGTTGGAGTTGCCCAGAACACTGAGAGGTTAAGTGACCTGCACCAGGGTCTTACTGGCCATCTAGAGAACATCTCTCTGGTTTGAGGAGGCAAGTTAAAGAAGGGTTTGTGTTTGTTGTTATGGTTGTATTTAACGTAAAGCAGAGCTGAGCATGGGTTTCTAGACCTAAAGAAAAAGCCAGTAGAGAAGGAAATGTTGACAATTTATATGTGAGAAAAAGGCAGCTTCATGGAGTGAGAAGAACCCTAGACCTGGTGTCAAGAAACCAAGGTTTGATTACTGCTTCTGGCTTTTAACTGTGTGACCACGGACAGTTCTCTTCATCTCTGAGCCCTCAGTCTTTTTGTCTGTAAAATGGGGCTTCTTTAGGGCTGCTGTGAGGCTCAAATGAAATAACGGATGTAAAGCACATCGTAAATTTTAAAGTCATATGTAAATGTCAGCTCTTATTATAAGGACTGCAATTAGTGGGACCTCCCAGAGGAGGTTAAGAAAGAGCCTCTGGAGTAAAAATGGAGGGGTAATATAGCTAAGAAAAAGACATTAGAGAAGGAGGAAAAGATGGGTAAAGGTAAAGAGATTTTGAGATGGAGTGGGTTGCAGTAGAAGTGCTTTCATGGGAAAGCCTACTTTCAAATAGAAAGGAAAATATGGAAATTTTAACGACAGAATAGGTGTGTCATAGGATATAGTAGAGGTGAGCAGTAACAGTAAAGGAGTGGGTAAGTGGGCTACGATAGAGCACTGAGCCTGGAAGCAGAAAGACCTGAATTCAAATACAGCCTCAGACACTTACGAGCAGTATGACCCTGGGCAAGTCACTTAATCTTGTTTGCCTCAGTTCCTCATCTGTAAAATTACCTAGGAGAAGGAAATGGCAAACCACTCCAGTTTCTCTGCCAAGAAAATCTCAAATAGGGTCACTAAAAGTTGGACACAACTGAACAAGGACTAAACAACAAAAATTGTTCGTAAGGGATGTAGACTGGGTAAAACTGAGAAGAATAAGCTCAATGGCAACAGAACAAGTCACGTACAGTGTTAGAGCAGAAATGTTAATAGAGCTAAGAAACTGGGTGACTGGTATCATGGAATCTAAGGGTTGAAAGGAACCTTGGAATCCTTGTGTGATCCAACCCATATTTATCAGAACTCTTGGTTCCAGTTTTGAAAGTATTCTTTATGAATAGGTGAACAATGAGGAATTAGTCAAACTTTTAAAGGATTAACCAGATCGCACATTCCATTTTGAGTATTTTGTAGTGGTAAATGTGTCTCATAGCTTCATATTGGATACTGATGAGTACTGGAGACTTCAAAGTTAGGTAGTGATTTCTGGACTGCCATAGCTCTAGATTAGTTAAAATTGTATGTAAGCAAAAGCACTGAACTTTGTTTAGAGTGTTCACGAATCACTTCTAATGAGAGGGTCTCTGGGTTTGCCTAGGGACTTTTTGTTTTGTGAGTATATTGAAAAGAATTTGAAAGGAAGTAGTGAGAAAACAAGTATACATTAATTCTATATATTTTTTTTAAAACTAACTCTATTTCCCTTAATCCTATCCCGCCCACCTATTTTATCTTTTTTTTTTTTTTAAGGCAGTTGGAGTTAAGTGACTTGCCCAGGGTCACACAGCTAGTAAGTGTCAAGTGTTTGGTCTGAGGCCAGATTTGAACTCAGGTCCTCCTGGCTTCAGGGCCAGTGCTCTATCCATTATGCCAACTAGCTGCCCCCCATTAATTCTGTCTCACAAACAATGCAGAATGAAGAAGAATAAAAACATTGACAGTATAGAAAGCAGTGAGATGATTTTTTGAAATGTCTGTTTTGAAGGTCAGGTAAATCAAACTAATAAAAAAATTCAAAACTGGAAAAGCCCAACATAATATTGTCCTTTCTACACAGGCCCACTCCACTTTGTCTATTTTCTTGCTGACCTTCTCAACCTTCCTTTACACTTCCTTCCCCAAAGGGGGCGTCTTGAATGTTTTTGCTCTTAGTACAGCACCTGCAAAAATAACAAATGTTTCAGAATTTTAACACTTAAAATGTTTGGGGAGGGGAACCCCTTATCGTTTCTGGTAACATTTTTATAAAAAAGAAAATAGTATGCAAGGTAGAGCAAACAAAACAAAAATGTAGGTTTACTACCTGTTTCCTACCTACAGAATTTTTACTGAAAGCTTATGGTTTGCAGGTAGAGTTGGCTCTTAACGCAACCCCATGGAAGGAAGCAACCAAATTGTTCTTAAAATATTCCAATGAGATGTTTGGAAAAGGGAAAATACTGTAAAATAGAAATTGTCTCATCACCTTCAGTCATGAGTGGGTAGCATCTATTTTTGTCTCATTATCTGAAAAACTAGTTAAGCATTTATTTGGAATATTAAGTACTGTCTGTAAAGAATTTTTAGAGTTTTTGGAGTATTGGGTGCTGTAAGACTACTGAAATCATCTTACAGTGCAGTCAAACAGATAAGATAAGCACAGTGTAAAAACAGTCACCAAGAAGACTAAAATGGATGTGAACATTACCAAAATGTTATGGAATAATTTATTAATTGTTTGTTATTAAGCTTTGATTTGAAAATGTTGCTTTGGACCATCTTCACTAAGGTACTTTGTCACAGTACCTGGCACATAGTAGGTGCTTAATAGTAGGATTTGGTCACAATGGTTGAAATTGAATTAATTTGAGTAATGAGATTTATTGTTATTTCTATAGGACCTATTTTCTGATTGTTCCCATCTCATTCTTTACAGGATCTTTCTCTTGCAAAAATTGAGGAAGCTAGGTGGCACAGTAGGTAGAGCACTAGGCCTGGAGTCAGGAAGACCAGAGTTCAAATCTGGCCTCAACTAGCTATGTGACCCTAGACAAATCAATTGACTTCTGCCTCAGTTTTCTCATATGTAAAATGAGGGTAATAATAGGCCTGCCTCCCAGGGTTGTTGAGGGGATCAAATGAGATAATAATTGTAAAGTAGTTAGCACCGTGCCTGGAACATAGTAAGCACTATATAAATGGTGGTGATGATGATGGTTGTTGTATTATAACTTGTCCTTGGCAGGTTCTTCCTAGGTCTTGGGCATCGTATTGGGCTTCACTGGCTAAAAGTCTTCAGTTCTATATAACAAACCCAGATTTTTCTCCTGGAAAATTAGCATTGTTGTCATTGGGCTAAACCAGATTTTGTTCTTTTTACTGATGTTGAAATTCAAGACAAGGAAATGAGAAAGATGTTAAATGTTTTCTCTCTTTAGGGTGAACGTTTAGATAGACTCTGCCCAATCCAAGGGACCAAATATTTGGCAGAGGAGGTAGCTTCTTTTAGTAGAGCATTTGGAAAATACTACCTTTTTTTTTTTTTTTTTCTAAATAAAAATTCATTGTAACTTCCTGCTGGGCTGGCTCTAAGTGAAATATAGTGGTGAGATTTATTTACAGTTCTCTCTGTGTCTCTTTCTTCCCTTCTCTCTAATGAAGCTCAAAGCATCATACCGTTTATCAGAAATAATTATACAACAGATGGAGCTTTTTTGATATATAATAGTCTCAAAGTGGAAAATTCTTTCCCATAATGAAGAATGCCCAAACTTGAAATGTCTCTTTTGATTTTAATTTAAAGGTGTTTTTTCCAGTACATTTATTTATCTTGTTGCTAGTTCTGTATAGCATGCTCCTTTCATTAGAGCCATGTTCTAAAAAGATTGATATTTTGCAGTATAGTATGATGTACAGCTGCATGCTGCATTGAATAGAATGACTGTAATTCAGGGAGAATCAATGTATGAGCCCATTAAGTTAATCCCTGTCAAAGTGTAAAAGGACTAAAGCATTCAGCAGTGTTTTCTTGCAAGAATTATTCAAGATGAAGTATTTCTTTCCCAATCCCTCTCTTCTATAATGCTAACTGGATTGGAACTTATTTAAATGTTCCAGTTGTCCTCTTAAGATCCATATGGTCAAAATAGAAACCACGTTAAGACTTTGATTTAGAATTGGCACATCAAGGCACCTTTCCATAAATACCTGAAATGAACTTATTATCATATTTTGCCAGAGGTTTATTAATCCATGATACTAGGTAGATATAAAAATTTTTTTTATCATGGGAGGATTTTCATTTTCAAAGTCATTTTTATTTTTCTTGTTCAATATTATTATCTCCATTTCTTGTAAATCTAGATTTGAACAAACATCTCCAAACTAGTGTTCAGGGTGTTAGAGTTTCTGATAGATGTCAGGATTGTTTTAAAAACAAACTAATAGAAGTATTATTTATATGCAAATTAAACTTTACATATTTGGAGCTAGGGAAGAAAGAGGTTTAAGGTTCCCAGTTTTCCAGAGTAAGGGCAGTCTGAGGCATAAGGTGCTGTAGCCCCTTTCTATGTGGACAAGGTAGAATGGTTGTTTCTCAAGAGATCCTGTGTGCTGGCAAGGTTCCCACAGGGCCAGAGAGCAATGATAATGGCATTTAGTAAATTATATCCAAAGACACAAATCTTGTTCCTAGTATCTCAGCCCCTATATCACTTGCCCTAAACCTTTGAGGTTTGGATAGCAGGAACAGATAGATCTCTCATACCTTCATTCCCACTTAAAACGGAACAACAGGATTTAGAACTGAGAAGGCATATTTGAGATCATTTAATCCAGCTCTCTCCTTTGGGGGTCCAGAGACATGAAGTGTAACTAACTGTCTGAGGTTACGGTGGTGGTAACTAGTAGAGTTGGGCTTCAAATCCAGATTCTGTAAT